TATTTTCCCGTTTTTGGCGAGACAGTTGCGAGTCTAGCTTGACGATGATACAACTGTCTTTGCCTTGATTAAAATAAAAATGTTAATTATGCAGCACAGGTTTAATTTGAATAGGATGTGACCTGAGAACTGCCATGTAGTAAATATCTGGCTTTATGAAGTTATATGGGGAATTCTTGTGGGTTGCTTGTGGTTATATGACAAGTATTTTTCCTTGGAGAGTTGTTGTAGCTCGAATAGAAACCAATTACAAACTACAAAGGGGTGAAAGTGTTTGAAGGATATAAGTTGTTTATGGAAATTTTTAGTTTGTTTGGATTTTTGGTTTTGGTTTGGTTAATTTTTTAAAAAGTTGTATGGTTAGTTTGTTAGTGGGTATATTAAAATAATATTTAAAATAAAATAATTAAAATTGATTTGATGTAAAAGTAGGAGAGAGATAGTTGAAGTGATGGTTAGTTAGAATAATGTGAGTGGATGAATAGTGAATTAAGGTTGATGTGGTGTGTATGAATGATTGATTGATATTATTTAATTGTATTAATAATATTGATGATAGTGGGGTTGAGTTAAAGTTGAGTTAAAAAAAGTGGTTGAGTTAAAATGTGATTTTTTTTTGAAAAATTTCCATAAACAAACATGCCCTATTCAGTGCTTTTTAATTTTTTCTAGGGTAGATTTCCCGAATTTAGTATTGTAAATTTGTAATGCGACATGCAAGTCATTCTATGCTGTAAGAATCTGTCTATGATTATTGGGTTACGATAAAAATTCGTGTTATAACTAAGACTACCTTGGCACAAAGTACTTGGTACGCAAAAGACTCTGTACCAGCTGGAATTGACTTGAGTTGGAACGCCTGCCGGTAGATTGCCTACGAACTTGCAAAAATTCTTACATCGGAGGAGTTTTCTGGTAAAAAACTTCCGATGCTTAAATGAGTATGTGTACAAGATGAAGTGCAGAAGAGTATAGTGTATGTAAACGTTATGGCTGAAAACGCACATCCCACCCCTATTTATTGGGGTTGTTTATCTGCTTCTAGAAACCTGCTTTGATTGGATGAGCTAGCTGTCCAAGCTGTACAACTTGCGTTGCCACTATGACCAATCGAGTAGTGTCAAGTGGCATTGCCCCATGTGTCGCACTAATTGTACTGAGATTCTTTCTTATCTCTAATTCTACATACTAGACCGCCTAAAGGTGCGACCATCTCGATGTATGCTGAGATAGAATATTGACTATTCTGGACCAAGTGTTGTCTTTTTGGTCGATCGTACCACCAACCGTGTCTACTGGTCGAGTTTCTATCAGGCCAACCGAGGGCCCTAGCTCGACCTGTTGTTGTTGCTTTGTATCCCTTACGCTGTTTCCCAAATCGAAGGCTCTTAGTCCTGTAATGGTGGCATTCGACCACCGCCAACCCCGCCACGGTTTTGCTCGACCAGACGGTTCACTCGACCTAATTATCCGGTTTATTTCTTTGGGTATGGTATCCTATATCATCTAGTCCCCCTCCTCTCTGGTCGAGTTGAAATAACTCGATCCAAGAGTATATGTTTTTCCTTGTCTTCAATTGGTTTGCTTTATTCCTTTCTTTTCGACATGTTTGTTCCTTATTTTATGATTTTCGATCTCCTCCCTCCATGGCCTTTACTTCAAAGAATGCTTTAAAAATTCAGAAGAGAACAAAGTTCGAATACAAAGGAAAACCTCAACAACACCGGAAAGAGCAAATTGGGAGACACACTAAAAAGCGGCCTAGAGCCTCAACAAGCCAAACAACTCGGCAAGAGGAAAACAAACTAAAAGAACTGAGACTAAGGGCCTAACCACTGTCAAAACTGCCTAGCCAGGGCACCTTAGTCCCAAAACCACAAACTCAAACAAAAAATTTCCGTATTACCTATATTAAGTAACTAAGGGTGTTGAGAATTATCGAAATGGTGAATTGCCATATTGTTTAATATAGGTTCATATAACACAGTGTGCATACTTTTCATTGGAACAAAAAGTGGAATCGCCATATTGTTTTTGTTTTTTTGGTACAAGAATAGCCATATTGTTTAAACAAAATGGGGAATCGCCATATGAGCCATACTACACGATAAGTTGAACCATTTTGTTTACTCCTTTTCATATAGTTTAATTAAATTTCCTACCATATACACACACACAAGAATAGAATCAAAATAAATAAAAACAAATCTAGTGATCCGTAACATCGGAGGAGGCATTCCCACCGGCAGCCGAAGTTGTGCAGACGAGTTGGTTCTTATGATTATGCATCCAAACCTTGAAAACCTTACGACTGATCCCAACCCCTCTGCAGAACCTCTCGATCTCGTCATCTTCCTCTAATTTTCTCTGCAGCTTCCACCCAATCTTCTCCGCAAAACCCATCATCTTCTCCTTCTGCTCGGACGTGAATTTCGTCCTTATCCGCTTCTTCTGCCGCTTCTGTTGTCTCTCGATGTCTTCAATGACTTTACGGTGGCAGCCACAGGCGGCGCAGCAGAGGTTGGGGCTGAACTCTCCGCACCCGTCGGTGGCGTAGCTGCCGAGGCTGGCTGCATGGTTTTTAAGGCATTCTTTGTATGTTGTGTCGGTGTTGTCTCCG